CCCCAAAACCCCAAAACCCCAAAACCCCAAAACCCCTTAAAGGATTTTTGATATTGAAGATTCAAATCTTAGGAATTCTTGCTGCTCTTCAGAGCTTTCGAGACAGACTGCCTTGACCGAGTAAAACCAGATAGTTGAACACTCGAGAACTTGCTAAAAGCCTCATTGAAGTTGAAGCACTTCAGGTTCACTCTCTTTTTCTTCGAGATTGCTGAGATTAACTTATTCCTGGAAATCATCTCAGAACGTTTCTATTTAAAATTATGATAAATTTACAATTTGAGGTACATCTAATGACGAATTGTTTAGAACTCTGGAATGTTGAGAGGTCCTTCTATTTTCTATCAACTTCACAGCAGGCTCTGGTAAAACACTTCTGTTAGTATGAATGCTGCGAGTATGAGTCCTGTTTAAGTCAAGAGTTCCTAAGCCAGATTCCTTATTCCTATTTTTAACAAAATTGTAGAGATTGCTAAGTTGTTGAAGGTTTGAAGCGCTCTGGTTTATCACAGAGTTCTTACTCTCACTATGCCAGATAATACCATTCTTAATTGACTGAATCATCAACACAAGAGCTTCTTCTAATTGGTACTTAAGTTGCTCGATGCTTTTTGAATGATCCTGAATTTCCTGACGGGAAGCTTTAGATTTCCAAAGAAAGTCTGCATCTTTCTTATCTGCTTTCAGCTTAAGTAGATTATCAAGCTCATTTGCGGTGATAGGTTTTCCACCAATAGTTTCTACAACAAGTTAGCACTGAATTTTAAATTGAGGAATTACCAAAGACTTTCTTTTTGACATCCTTCAATGAGCACTCCATTTTCTGGTCGATCTTATTTGGAATACCCCTTTTCAATATTTTCGACCTTTTGGTTTATAACTGCTCAATTTCTTTATGAGCCTTGGCCTGATCTGATGATAGCTGGGAAAGAAACTCTTGAAAGCTCTTAGAGTGAATGTATTTATTTCAACTCGATCTTGAGTTCCTCCAAGTTGAATTTTGATGCTTTTTCTAGTAAAACTTCGTCAAATCTTCTTATCATTTCCTTAGCCTTATTTATTATCATCTGTGTATGTTGTCAGCAAAGTGTCAACTTGCTTCATGAAGGGATCTATTTTTGCATTCATATTTTTGATGTGTTCGTAGGAACAGAAATTGCCAAACTGTGACTTTATTGAATCTAAGCCCTCTTTAAGGTCACTATATTCAATTTTTACCTTCAGTTTAGTACTGAACATTTCAGAGAAACTTTTCATAGTTTTGAGATCGTCTGATGCTAGAAGGACTTTATCAAGAACTTCTTTCATTTCCTCCCTCAATGTGGTGAGTTGTTCATCAAGGTATTGATTTTTAGCGTAAGCAATAAGTTTTTGGCTAAATTGGAACTCTAGATTTTTGAATTTGTCCTGAGCTGTCTTTGTGTCAATCTTATTGTCTGTAATATCTCTGAGCTCAGAAACATTTTTCTGTCAAATTTCAAATTCATCATTTCTAGCATAATCCATTACAAGTTGTTGTTGGAGGTCTCTGAATTCATGTAGAGGCGCATAATGGCTCATTTGCTTGTGGACTTTATTTAGCTCAGTTACATCAGCTTTTTGATGAAATACCTCGGAAATAATTTTTAAATTATAGGCTATGTCAGACTGCTTAGCTCTTAAATCATCAATTTTTCCTTCAACGATTTCAGAGTTATTTCTCAAGGAAGGCTAGTTTAATTGAGCTTTCGTGTTTATAACCGTCAAACTTAATTTCTAATTTCTATGGGGTTATATAGAAACATACCTCAAGATTTGATTTGACACCTTTTGTGGTAACTCTTTCCACTGTTTTCAACAGATTTTCACGATCTTCTTCCTCTTCTTGGATCTTAACAAGGCTTCCAAGAAGTATCGAGTCAGATATTTTGACTCTCCATTCTTGAAATGTCTTCTCAAGTGCCTATGTATGATACTTTAGAGATACCTCTACACGTGCCGAAAGACTTTCTTCGGATCTATACACTTCCATTTACTATGAATAATAATATATAACAATTGAACAATAAATTTATCTTGCACTGGGGTTTTGGGGTTTTGGGGTTTTGGGGTTTTGGGG